CCGAGTTGACAAAATGTTTTCGAGGATGTTGCGAAAGCCGAAACGTGTACGACTACGTTATCGCAGTCACCTTTTCTTAATCGTTAAGATTAAGAAAAGGTGACTGCGGTAACGCGAAAATAACAATAAGTCGTAGACTTGTATAACCTTTATCTTATTTCTTCTAAAGGAGGAGAAAGGAAAAGAATTCAATACATTTTACACGTCGTTGTTTTTTTTATTTTTCAGTTCCCGCTTGCAATGTTTCAATATCTGGCAAAAGTGTAACCTCCCAGAGGATACCCCCTGATTTGAAGGAGAATCAGAAGAAAACCGTTACATCATTTCCACCGCTGTCAGAACCTATTCCGAATTTGCCGAAAGTTGTTTATTCGACTGCGAAAGAGGAGCATCAAACGACGCAGATCACAGTCTTACCAAACGGCTTGAAAGTCGCGTCTGAAAATAGCTTACGCAGACACTGGTTTATTTTGTATTTACGCCTCATGCACACCGTCCCATGTGAAGGAAATGGTAGAAGTAATTGTGCACGAGATGGTCGCCATGACGAGCGGATTTTTGGATAACGAATTAGCGGTATGATTTTTACATTTCTGAACCAGTTATTACAGCGTGTTTATATATATATATATATATATATATATATATATATATATATAACAGTGTAGAATAGTATTTATTTTTATCAATCATTAATAAGTGCTGTTTTGTAAAGAATTTATTTCTTATCTCTTTAGTTAACGATAATAGTAGTGAAGATGAGGAAGAAGATCTTGTATCTGACAATATCAGAACTAAAGTAAAAGTACTTTTGAATAATAAAAAACAACTATCTTCTTCACAAGATGGTAAGTTGAATATGTTATACAAATCCTGTGTTTATAGGATTTTATCTCAATAATGAATCTTGTTATTAAAATTTATTTAATAATCCACGTTTATATAAACAGTATAAAACTGATGTTTATATTTCAATACTATTGTTGCGCCCGTGCTGGACACCCGTTTGTGGGCTGAACTTGGCTCCGCTGACCGTTCCGCGGAAGCTTCGTGCTGAAGCGCGTCCCTTGACTACGGGATATTGATTTTTTTTGTTGATCAGATTTACGGGGAGACTCAAAACGTTCGGACAAGTTCTCTTCTAGAAACGCATTCCTGTACAAAGATCTTAAATAAACCCGAGTTCCTTTTGTAAACGGGAGTTGTCTTTCTTACGCGAGTCCGGAGTGCGCGGCGCGAACGCGAGTGACTAGTTATTGCGGAGCGCAGCGCAACATTTTGGGGGCTCGTCCAGGATCGGACGAGTGAGAGCGGACGTACGGAACTTAATGGTGAGCACCGAGCCAGCTCCTACATTGAGAAAGAGAGCGCGGATGGGGACTCCGAGGCCGAGAGTCCCACAGCTCGAGGCGGAGACGGAGATTCAACGAGCCGGCCCGAGCGCCCCTCAGCTCTCAGCGGAAGTGGTACAGGAGATCCGCCAGATGCGTGAGGAGTACGCAGTGTTGTTGCGGCAGCGGGATACGGAGCCTCAGCGTCAGGAACGCGCACAGCTAAGTCCTTCCGTAAATAGAGATCACGGAGATTCGGGGTCGCGAGTCGCGGTAGTGAACGCTCACAGCTAAGTCCTTCCGTAAATAGAACTCACGGAGATTCGGGGTCGCGGGTCGCCGTAGTGAATCGCGGAGAGGAAGACCCACGTCGCGAAACAGAGTGGGACCAGAATATAAAATTAAAGCCTGACACATATGACGGGACAATTCCATTACGTGAATTTTTCTCTCAGTTTGAACTGATTGCTCGGGCAAATGGGTGGAGTGAGGCTTCAAAAACAATTATCCTAGCTTTTCTAAGAGGAAAGGCGCGTTCCATCCTTGAAAACGTACAGGATTTAGAAAATCTGGATTATGTGGAGCTGAAGTCGAAGCTCGAGTTACGTTTTGGTGAGGGGCTCCACTCGCAGAACTATTATTCGCTATTTACCAATAGAAAACAAAAGTTTGGGGAAGATCTCGCCGAACTTGGTACCGATTTAGAGAGATTAGCTCGATTAGCGTACCCCGAATGTCCCTTCCCGGTTCGCAATAAAATCGCTTGCTCCCAATTTATCTCTGCGCTTTCGAATGACTTCATACGGAGTACCCTTCAGCTGGAAGGGGTTACCTCTCTCAAATTTGCCGTAGAGAGAGCGAAAGCGGTCAAAATCATACAGGGAGATAGCTTCAAAAAGAGAAAAGAGCTTTATAATAATAATTTTGAAAGAAAGAACGGAAAAGATACGCGTAAAGAGAATAATGAGGAAAAGAAGGAGGGGGAGGTGAAGAAAGTCGGAAAGGGAAACCGGCGAGGCGGCCAGTTCGGCGCTGGCCAGAAAAAAGAAAGCTGGATTTGTGGGAAAACGGGGCATTTCCGGTATGAATGTCTAGCAGGGGAGGGAAACGTGAATTAGTCGAGCTCGGCGGGGAGGGTTCGACCCACGCAAAAAATGCCCCAATTGTTAAACATTTTATTAGCTGTAAGTTAGATAAGAATAAGTTAGATAAGAAAAATTTTTATTACGATGGCTTTCTGGACGGAAAACGTTGCTCATTTAAAATTGGCACGGGCTCCGATGTTTCAATTGTGAGTAGTAGATTTATAGGGAAGAATAAAGAAAGAATTGTATTAGTGGATCATAATCTTAGATATCCAACGGGAGAAAAAGTCCCATTTGAGTCTAAAATCTTGGTAAAAATCCAAGTCGGGAAATGTTCTCTGGAGATGCCGATGTTTGTGGCAAAGATTAGTGAGGAATGTTTGTTAGGCGCAGATTTTCTCGAGACGGTAAATTTAAAAAACATTTTCGAATCTTTTCTGGGAAATTCAGAATTTAAAGAGGAGAAGAGGGTTTACGATTGCTCTCGCGTGGTAAACTCTGCTGAAATAGTTCCTTCCTTTTTAAAAGAACTTTATGGGAGAGATTCTGTAAATCTCAATGAAACTCAGAGGGACGTTTTCCTTGCCTTTTTGAATGAGCATAGAGAAGTGTTTTCTGATGAGATTGTTACAAGAAGGTGTAATATTGTTTACCATAACATAAATGTGGAGAATTTCTCCCCAATTAAGCAAGTCCCTCATCGCATTTTAATTCAAATACGAGATGAAGTAAATCAGATAATTGAAGATATGAGGAAGCGGGGAGTAATTGAGACCCAGAGCCCTTGGGTCTCACCAGTCGTTCTGGTTAAAAAAAAGGACGGAACGATAAGATTTTGTGTGGACTATAGAGGGATAAATGCTATTACAAAAAAAGATTCCTTTCCGCTCCCTAGAATTGATGACATCTTCGATCAACTCGCAGGTAACTGTTGGTTTTCTATCCTAGATTTTAAAAGTGGGTACTGGTGGAACCGGTGGCTGAAGTCACCGTTCCAAGGTCGGATCCTTCGCAGCAACAAACACCGTACGAGCCGATGAACCAACTGGAGGTGATTCCGAGGGATCCGAGCGCCGTACGACAGAGCGAGGAGGTCGACCAATCGATGGGCTTGACCGAGGCCGAGGTGCATTTGTTCATGGCGAACAACGACGCCGAGCAACTGGATCTACTACAACAGATACCAGAAGCCATTGAGGAGGAGATAGTGACCCAGTGCGGCGAACAGCCCGCTGGACCGGAAGGGGTGCAGCAGAGCCAATCGAGGGACGAGGAGTCTAACGACAATCAGCCGGACCAGTCCGGGACGTCGGAGATAGCGGCGGGTGCAACGACAGCCCCGTAGACGATATCCCGCCCCGATTGCGCGAAACCATCCAATTTTGGATAAAACGGCCAATTGGAGAGATCGTACCGATACACGACGTGTGTAGAGACTTTAAGTTTATTATTATTTTATTCAGAGTATATTCCGTTCACGAACGAAATCTTTTATTTCATTTTATTATTTGTTTTGATACGATTGAGCTTTTTTGAGCGATTTGAAGAAGTTTACGCAAATTGCGCGACGACTGACCCTAGTGGTCTGATTTTATAATAAGATTAGCGAAAAGCGCATGTAATAACCAATTAGGAGCGTAGGTGATTGAATTTAATACATTTTATAAAAGATAAGCGAAAGCGAACACCTGAAACCTTTTTCAACCAATCCCAACGCATCCTCGAGTGAATTATCATTAAAAGCGAAGACAGAGCCATCGCGAGAGCCAATCACAGGCCATGGACTCTGATAAATTTAGAATATTAGTTCTTGCATTCATTTTCATTCTTTTTGCAATTTCTATCATATGCATATTACTTTTAGCTTATTCGCACTCAGCGAGAGCACACCATATTATTTAACGTAAAATCAGTAAAGTCAGCGAGATGCGGCTTAAGGAGTACCTAGTGGTCACTCTGATCATATTCATACCTTTGATTATTAGTTTTCCAGACGTTCACACTGTTAGCATGATATTCACTCTATATACCCTATATATTTTATTGTTAAGCCTCGAGATCGATCCTAGATTGATTCCCGACGAGCGATGAACCAATCACGTCGAATTAAGCGTGTATTGCGTCCGAGGACCAATAGCGTCCGTTCTATGTATTTCTGTTTTAATTATGCATGTTTCGCAAGTTTATTACAGTTTTGACACAATGTCGAGTAGCGACAGCCAATGGGGCAAAGCCCTGATAATTTTATATCGATTCGTCGAGTTTTACTTTAATTTACCTTATTCACAGACCTTGTTGTCAACGAGAGCCAATAGGAACGAATCCTGGCCAATTTCATATTGTTTAGTTTATTTCGAAGTTTTCTATCAAATCATAAGGCATTCAGCCAATCGGAGCGCATTGAGCGACTCTGCCAAACGAACGCAGCGATCCGACCAATGAGAAACGAGCACGGCTCGAAACAGCGATTCGCATTGTAACGCGTTTAAACGTTCAATTAGCATTACTTTTATGTTTTCCCTGTCAAAACTGTTGAGAATTATTATTTTATTGTATACGATACGCATTTTATATACTTACCGTCGGAATACTTACCGATGACGATTACCCGTCCAACGATTGGGCGAGACGATCCCACGAAGTCCGGTACCTGAAAGAAAAGGAGAATTAATTGATGTATTGATTCTAGTACGTGTTACTTACCTGCGTAATGTCGGATCGTCGAAACGACCTACGCGGAACCGCTCCGAGTGACTGGCCCGCGAACACGCACTTTGTGCTGTTGCGACGGCTGGCATTGGTTGACGCATCGCGAAGATCGCAGCGAGAACCTATGTCCGCCGTCCAATCGGGATTCAGCATCGTGATTGAGCTGAGCCAGTCTACCGGCTCAGTTGATGGTCTATTGGTCAAAGAGACTCGATGTATCGCGTCGTCCTGAAGACCGCGACGCGATTGGCCGAGTGCGAGAAGACGCGCAAAATGCACGAGACTCGCGCCAAAAACAGCGGCGTTGCGCCGGCGCGAGCAGCCATAGTGGGAGAGCGAGACCCGTTCCTCCCGGACAGCCCTTCGCAGGCTTTTGAAGCGGCAACTCGTATTCGGTTCCGCGCTTAACATTCGATCCCGATCGACTTATCCCGTTGTCCGCTAGCAACATTAGCGTGATTATTGTAATTGAATCGTGTTTGCGCGATAACGGGTGTTAATTGTGCGACACGCGAACGACCACGAGTCAGATTAAGCTCAATATCGTCGGTACCGTTGAGAACGTGTCCGCGATCGTAGCACATGCTGTAAACCAAGAATATATATTAAATTGTTATTTGTTTATAATAAACAAAGACTCTTTATTCGCGACCCCAGTGAACATCCTGTCCGAATATCCGTGAAATACGTGCGCTTAACCAGGGCGTGGCCGACGGCCTTGAACACGTCCGCGTCGT